AAGAAGGCTTTTATTCCAATCTTCTCTTTTTAAGTGGGCAGGGTGGAGGAAGGATGTATTAGAGCCAAATTACACAGTCCTTACTGAGCTGCAAATTTCTACTTCACAAAATTATTCATTTAGGCCATCAAGCATGTAAGAGGCTAAACCCAGGACCCAAGTAATATTTAGAGTAAGCAAATATCAAATTAAAATGGCCAGAGGAAAACTGTTTGCACTGTTGTGTTATGCTTTTAGAGTGTTAGGTACAAACAGAAATTCAGAAGAAACATGGTTCTGGTGTAAACAGCTTTAAAATAGACAATCCTTTATGCTCAGAGCATGAGGTGAATGTGTTCAGCTGCTTGTCCATGCTGGGTGAGTGAGCAGCAGCAGCAGCAAGAATATAAAATTCCTGGTCTAGCTACAGTGAACAAGCCTATAAGGCTTTACAGGAAACAAAAATAAACATAAAACATGCATCTAAGTGTACACAAACAGCATGCAATCATTGTCAAGCTGCATCCTTCAAAGCATGTTACACTAAAAACATTGAAACAGACAGAAGCTTCCTAAAGATCATTTCCACTGTGGATGCCACTTACTGCAAGCACCTAAAACAGTGTCTGACATACCTGAAATGTGAACATAAGCTGGCAAATTTTGTTTTCTGTGCTCTTTGTTGCTACAACATGGGTTACAGGTTACAGGGTATCAGTCAATCAATAAAATGTTTTTAAGCCAATAAAAGTCATTCAAGCTTTCTTCCACAGATCTTGAAAAAGCTAGAATAAAACTTTTTCTCTAGCCTCAGGTTTAATGCCTGAAAATTGCACTTTTGTCATTTCTTATGTAAGACTATATAACAAGCGACGTAAAACACAAATACAATTTCTTTCTGTAGAGGAGTCTGCCTTTGTCTAACAGTGAGTCAGCATCATCTGACAGATCAGTTTTCTCTAAGTGTAGGATGTGGATTTTGCATATCACACTCTCCAAGGGCACCTGTTGGAAACTTGGGTTGCTACAGCATGGAATTTCACACCACACATAAGGTCAACTCAGTGGCCTCCCAGCACATCACAAAGTCTCATCAATAGGAATGAGGCTGATATGAGATACCTCAAGTTTTCTGCCCTCCAGATCTGCCTTTCTATAATGGGGACACAACATTCCTTAACACTTGGCTCTTTCTGAAGCTGTGCGTGTCTCATATCCACAGGATGAAGAGGAGGGACCTCAGGAGGAGTCTAATTCCACCTCCTGAGCAGAGGTCAGTCAGCTGTGAGGTCACATGAGGTTGGCCAGAGCTTTAAGCAGCCAAGTCTTGAAAAACCTCCCAGGATTTTCAGCTTCTCTGGGGACTGTGTTGCAAAATTTATTTGTCCCAATGTGAAAAACACTTTTCCTTGTGACCAGTCTGAACCTCTGTTCCAATCTCTGTTCACCATCATTCTCCTTCTGCCAAGTACCACTGTGAACAGCCTGGTCCTGTCTTTTCATAAGCCCCCATAAGTGCGGGCAGACTGTTGTTAGGCGTCCCCAAAGCCATCCCATGGGCAGGCTGCTCTTAGATGTCCCAAAGCCAATCCTGTTCCCAGCCCAGCTCCCTCAGCCTCTCCTCACAGGGGATGTGCTCCAGCCCATGCTGACCCTGGGGGCCCACACTATTGGGAGTGTTCCAGGTGCACTCCAACATGTGCTGAACACAGGGAAGTGATCACTTTCCTTGATCTACAGGCTGTGCTCCCCTAACACAGCCCCGGATGCTGCTGGCCCATTGTATTCCTGGACCAGCTGCTGGCTCATGCTCAGCCTGCTGTGTACCAAGGCCCAAGCTCCATCTGAGCAGAGCTGCTGTCCAGCCTGGCAGTCTCTTGCATGTATTGTTGAAAACTCCCAAAATCTTTTGGCATGAAGTCTGTGGGGATGGCCAAGACACTTTCCCCATGCCACACACAGCAGAAGCTCCCAGATCTTCCAAGATCATTTGCAATAGAAGCCAAGATTAACTCTATACAGACATTAAGCTAAAATAATGTTAACACACTTTTCCCAGTACCTTTAAAAACAAGTGTACAAATTCCTCTGTATCCTTGTCTCTGAAAAAGAGAACAGCTCCTGCACGGTGTTCCTTTCCTCCAAGCATGGTTGTTCATAGTAAAGACTAGGATTTGATCAGTTGCTTATGTTTACTAAACTGATTCCAACATCTTTGCCAGAGGGCTAAATGGATTCCAAGCGTGAGATGCTCCTGCTCATTTGAAGTGGCTGAGATTGTTTTTCAATGGAATTTTCCATTATGCTCTGTACTATCTTTCTTCAAAGGACAATTTGTTCACTGGGCAGTACTCTTTGTCCAACATAACATGCAGAACCATTGCTCAACACTTTTGTTTTCTTCCCATGTGCTCTACATCTATTCTCTTGTCTCAACCTAAGTTTTCTTTCACAACTCTCTTGCAGGTAATCTCATATGTTTGTTACCAGTTGCTGTGTCTGCTTTCCCTCCCCCCCACCCCTTTGTCCCCTTCTCTCTGGTATTAAAATTTGGGAAGCAGTCACAGCTTCTCAAGAAGACACAATGTCACACAGGCTGGGGATGAGCAGAGGGAGCAGCCCTGGCAGAAGGACTTGGCGGCTGTGGGTGACAGTTGACACTGCCCCAACCCAGAGCCCCAGGGCAGCAGGGCAGGGGGGATTCTGCCCCTCTGCCCCGCCCCCCCTGCAGGGCTGCATCCAGCCCTGGGGCCAGCACAGGAAGGACAGGGAGCTGCTGGAGCCAGGCCAGAGCAGGGATACCAAGGGGTCAGAGGGATGGAGCAGCTCTGCTGGGAGGAAAGGCTGAGGGAATTGGGAGTGCTCTGCCTGGAGAAGAGAAGTGACCGCAGTGTGGCCTTGCAGTGCCTGAAGGGAACCCACAGGAAATTTGGAGAAAGACTCTTAACAATGGCCTGGAATGACAGGACAAGGGGCAATAGCTTCACACTGACAGAGAGAATGTTTAGATTGGATATTAGGAAGAAATTGTTCCCGGTGAGAGAGGTGAGGCCCTGGCACAGATTGCCAAGAGATGCTGTGGCTGCCCCATCCCTGGAAGTGTCCAAGACCTGGCTGAATGGGGCTCTGAACAAACTGGGATAGTGGAAGGTGTCCAGCAGGGGGTTGGAATCAGACGAGCTTTAAGATCCCATTCCATTCTATGATTCTCTGACTCCACAGTTTTTCTTATGCACTGAAAGTAGGAGTGCTATAAATGACCCAGACCCTGTAAGCCTGCATGCCCTACAATTCTTGCCTGAGTACAAGATCTACCATCTCACAGTGTGTTCTGAATAGAATGTTCAAACCTCAATAGCAGCAGGAGGACAAATCAGCAAATGATAAAGGGCAAAGGAATCAACATCTCCAGCCCAATCTAATGCTTTGTCCATTAAACAGCTGTAGCAAATCAATGTTTTCCCTCTTTTGCTGCATCAGACCCAACAGACCCGACAGAAGATACATACTTTGCTGATCAAGCAGCAGACTGTGAAAGAGCGGGTGAAAATCTACAACAGCTGAAGTGTTGAAACATTGAATGTACTTATGAGGGAACATTTTTATACCTCTGGTTAAGGTTTACTTCCAAGTATGACTACTTATTTGATCCTTAAACAGCAACTAGAAGAAAGAGCTTCCACAGCTAGGCAGTATCAGGTTGCAGAAACAGAGCAGGTTTCAAGAATAAAAAAACAGAAGCCCATGCAATGAAAAGAACTGTGGTTCCTGAAGATGTACTGTCTCCCACAGTTCCCAAGTTAACAAGTGTGAGGTGATGCAAATGTTAAGCTGTAACAGGGAATCTACTATGAAGATCAAATCCCTTTTCCACCAACATATAAATCTCAATTCAAGACATCCCCCCCAAAAAAAAATCGATAAAGCCCAAAGTTCTCCCTCTTTTCAAGTCCATTAATTCAAAAAGCAAACAAACAACAACAATTCAGCCCACCCTAATCCAAACCATCTTGAGAAGCACTGGATGTAGTTTTTCCAGGAAAACCCAAAAACCAGGCCCCAGGACTGACTTCAAATGAAAATCTGGCCTCTCAAGCCTCCCCAGTACATGGGCAAAATAAATCAAGGACAAGCTGCCATAGGCCTTGGGCTGTACTGTAGTCTGTTCACCCTCCAATCTTTTTTTCCTTCTGCAGAATCTGATAGTACAAGAGTTCCACAACAGCAGATTAAATTTATGACTACAGATATGCACATTTAATAAAATATCATTAAGCAATGAAATACCAGTCTTATTAAGTACTTACAGTTTTAGTATTTGTTAAAGGTAGGAACACCTTTGTCTTTTTTAATCCTCAAAACACTGTGCTGTGCTCCACTTGTTGCATGCTAAAGGCATTTTTGAATTGCTCTGATTTGTCTGGGTGCTTTCAAGTCAATGACAGTGCAGTCAATATATAGAAACAGGTAGTTTTGATCAGGAAATGAGCAGATGTTATGTGGCAACAAACAACATCCTGCAATAACAAGGCTGGTAACTCAAAACAACAGAAAATGAGCAAGTTTAACCCCAAGTTCATGCTTTGAACCCTACATTAGCTGCTGGTTTTGTGTTGGGCTTTTATTTCAAATATCGTAAGAGATATTCATATTTCTGTAGTCCTACAACGAAGAGCAGAAGTTCATTCTGTGATTGTGTGAAGATAAATACATCTCTGTAGAGCACCTTGGGGACAATGGGAATCTTGCTGCTTATGACCACAGCATTCACATGGCAGCTGCGGCTTACACTGAAAAGCAACTTTACGTAATAAGCTATTTTAAGTTTTCTCACTGCTGATTTTTATCCAGTCATCCAATGCCTCCTCATCACTGCTGCTTTAGAGGCACTCACCAGTTGCCAGGAAAATACAGAATATCAGTAAAAGCAGAGAAATAGCACAAGCAAGAACAAGTGTATCAGTGGCAACAATGGACTCAAAGGCTCATTTGTGAATTACAAACAATAATAAATGTCAATATCAGATACCTGCAGGTTTATTTCAACGAATTCGATTGAAGTAATATTTGTGAACAGAAAGCTCGCTGTAAGTCAAAGAAACATAAACCCACGCAGATCTGTAACAGAGCCCTTACAAAAGCGTTTCTCACACAAAACCCGCAGCCGAGCTGGGCCCAAACCGCCGCTCCCGAGGCGGAGCAGAGCGCGAGGCAGCCCATCCATTCCCGGTGTATCTTGGGAAGGGCCGCGGTGCCCCCTGGCGCTACGAGTCGGGCAGGGGCTGGCTGTGGGCGCCGCTCCGCGTCTTCAGCTGCGACTGGGCGATGTCGGCCAGGGCGCTCTGGATCTTCTCGAGCAGCACATCCCCACGGTACACGACCTCCTCCAGTCGCGCCGCTGCCTCGTGGTTCTCCTCCTCCAGCCGGTACAGGCACGCAGCCTTCAAAGCAAAACCAGGATGATGCCCAAATAGTTTTGCCTTTTAATGTATTTTTCATATATTCCTACCTCTGTATGCTACTATCACACAGTCCTAGTATTTTTCCTACAATTTCTCTTTAGAACAATAAGCTGACCCTTCTAATGCATACTTGGAACCCTGTTTAGTCTTATTCTTACAAAGAAGCCTGACCAGGATTTTTTTGTTTTGTTTTCCAACCAGAATCTGAGAACACACAAGAAATGGTACGAAAAAGTCCCTGGAACAACTCCAACAGGGTAGAATGCAGGGAAAACTACCTAATCAACTACTCTTCTAATTGGCAATATTTATTAGATATGCTAATTTGTTAAACTCATAAAATTGTAGAAATCTGATGCTGGGTGTGTCCCAATGCCCATGACCACTGGGACATCTGGAAGCTTCCAATAAAGGCCTGCTCTTTATTTTACTATTTTAACACTCTTGCAAGAGTTTCCTCTTTTGATATTAGGCAACAGGGAAAAGCAAGGATCTTCAACAGAACCCTAAAGTGACTTTGCTACTCAAGGATGCTGAGGGAACAGCTGGTACTCCCTAAAAAGAAAAAGGTTCTCTTGTTTAATAGTTGACTGCAACTAATTAATGAATTAGAGCAGAATTTGTACTGTCAACTTCACCAAAAGGGAACTCACATGGGGCAGGTAAATTGTGTTGAGCATTTGTGTAGCAGCACCTCCTTTTATCATTTAAGACAATACTCAATACCCAGAAACATACCCCAAGACAACTTTAGTATAAAAAATCAGATTTCTACTAACCAAGTATTATCTACCACTTCTCAACTAAACCTAGAGTGCATATTTGAGTGTTTCAAGCATCTTGAAAACCATTTCTTTGGTGACTATCAGAATATTTAATAAGAAAATAAAAATCAAACTGGAATACAAGTGATGGAATCCAAGCTAATTTATCTTAAAACCACACCAGACAGAAAGTACCAGAAATTTTTGTGACAGGAAGTTCTTCATTAAGACAGCAAGAAACTGTTGAAGTATCACCTCCAAGGAAAGCATGTCCCTACTGGATAACCAGCTCCTCCTTCTGGAGCACCCTGCTTTGCCCACACCAGCTGCCACTTTGGTCAGACCCTGCTCAGTGATGGAATAAACTGGAATTTGTCTGCAGCAGGCATTCTATCTTCAGCTATTAAAAATGCACTTATAGGAAATTATGTTAACAAGTCCAATTAGGATGTTCAGCAATTACTGTCACTAGAAAAGAAAATACTTGATGTAAATCCAGCCATTAGGAGTCACAAAGTAAAAAAATCTGTCAAGAATAGGAAAAAAAACCCAAAAAACAAGTTTGACTGGTTCAAAGGAAGACTCCTTGTTATTAAAAAGCGATGGAATTATTTTGTGACACAGCTGAAGAACTTAAGGACACCCTGCAAAGTCTTTAACCAGAAACAAAGTGGAAGAATAAAAGACTTCTGTAGTGTTGGTTCTGCAGCTACAAAATTAAATGTGAGAAAATATTAATTATTACACAAGGGAAAAAAAAAGAATAAAACAATGCACAAAGCATCAGTACTATCATATTTTTCTGTTAATATTTGAAAAAAAAAAAAAAGGTGAGCAGTTTCCAGTATAGTAGTGGCATTATAAAATCACTTTTTTTTTTTTTACATTTTAACAGAAAACTAAGTCTAAAATATTGTCACTGATTATAATCATATTTGGAACTAGATGCAAGTTCAGTATTTCCACTGAGCCTACAAAGTACTCACAGGCTACCCTCATGAAAAATTCAGGTTTGTACTAAAATAATTTTTCAATCACGCCATGGCTTAGAGATGAAAAAATGTGTTTAAAAAAAAGGAGGAAGTCTGCCTTCAGGAGCATTCTGCTACTGGAATTAGGAAAACTCCTACCTGCAAAGCTGCTGTGGATTCTTCACTAGGCAGGGAATCTATGAGAACATCAATATCCTTGGCAGTGCGAGCGATCAGAGCTGCGAACAGCTGGGCATACTCTGCAGAAAACACAGCACAATTCAGGCAATCGCTCAGGGAATTAGAAACAAGCACAACTCTGCTGTCACAATGCTATGCAGAAAGTGCAGCCGACATCCACTGACGACTTATCCTCCAACACTGCACCAACTAAGGGGGAATTATTTGCCGAGGCCGTATTTTGCATTCCCGAACACACTACCCCGAAACGCGTTCGCGTGCAGGAGACGCAGGGAGCCGGACTCACCTTCCGTGGGGTTCACGGGCTGATCCTTGTTTATGGCTGTCTGGATGTTGCTGAAGGAGGCCGGCGGGCCGCACTGCTGCAGCACTCCGATGGCGTTACAGAACTGGTCCGCGAGCTGCCGGCAACAATTAACATGGCCTTAATCACCCTGCCCCATCGCTACGGCCACCCCCCGGCTCACGGCTCACCCCCGCCCGCCCAGCATCCGGCCATGTGGAGGGTGCGCACCCCACACCCGCGGCCATTCCCCCGGCTGGGGGGCTGCGGGCGGGGGCCGCATCACCGCATCCCCGCGCAGGCGGCTCAGCCCGTGCCGTGCCGTGCCGCGTGGCCTCGGGCGAGCGGAGACAGCGGCCGCCTTACCGAGTTGACGGCGTCCTGCAGCTGCGTCAACCGGTCCGCCATGGCCCCGCCGCCGCCCCTGAGGCGCGGGTGCCAGTCGGGCGCGCGCGGCGCCTGGCGGCCGGGAGGAACGGTCGGACAGCGGGGAGAATCCGCTCGCAGCGCGGGTGGGCAAGCCTTGGGACGGCTGCCCGGGGCGGCGCTAGAGTCACCTCACCGTCCTTCAGAGAGTTTAAGGAAAGACAGGACTTGGCACTCAGTGCCATAGTCTGCTTGGCACGGCGGTGTTCAGTCACAGGTTGAACTTGGTCTTTTCCAACCTAAGTGATTCTGTTGCTGCCACGGCCTTTTGCTGTGCAGCAGTCGCTCTGATCCCAGCTGAAGGCCGCAGCAGCTCTCAGGTGCCCCACTACAGCCCCGATCTGAGCAGGCAAGAGCCAGGGTAGTGTTTCCCAACAAGCCAAATCAGAGACAGCATCCGGCCTCCGAGCCCAGGGGGTGGAGAATAAATGTCTTTTGTGCCAGTCGGTTTGTATCCATCTTTATCTCTGACAGCTGGGTACAATGCCGACCTTCTCCCCGGTGGACCTTAGACATCACCTCTTTCCAAACCCCTGCCATAGGCAGGGACACTTTCCACTATCCCAGGTTCCTCAGAGCAACCATCCAATCTGGCCTTGGATACTTCCAAGGATGAGGCAGCCACAGCTTCCCTGTGCCAGGGCCTCACCACCCTCACAGGGAAGAATTTCCTCTAATATTCAATCTAAACCTCAGTTTGAAGCCATTTCTGTTATCCTGTCACAACATGCCTTTAGAAATAACCACTCTGTAGCCTTGTCACTGATTCTGCGTGTGCAGCAATAATACAAATAATCCACCCAAAGTGTTTTCCCAACGGCACGGCTGGGTGAGGATTTTGTTTGCCCGCGCACGCAAGATGGGAGGAGGGGGCTCTTCACGCTCCAAAGTTAAACCCCAAGTCCCAAACTACCGGTCCGAACCCCACCGTGCATTTTTAGGAGTTTGCAGCTGTTACCGCGGCCAAGCGCTTCCTCACTTGCACTCCCACTGCCCTTCCGGCGCGGCCCTCCCGCAGGTGCTGGAGTGGGGCGGGAGCGGCTCCAGCCGGGCGGGTCCCGCCTGCAGGCCGCCCCCAGCGCCCGCCCCGCCCCGCCCCGCTCTAGCTGCCCGGCCCTTCGACTGCCCCAGCTCCCTTACCCCGATCCCTCCGCAGCGCCATGTGGGTCTCGTCTCGCTTTGCGCTGCTCCTGCTGCTCATCGGGGTCCTGCGCCATGGCGGAGCCTCAGGTGAGGGCGGTGTGAGCCGGAGCGGGGGGGACCCGTGGGGCTGTGGCCGCCATTAAGCTGCCGCAGGAGCCCGGCTCGTACCGGGAGCTGCGGGGCTGTACCCGGGGTCATGTCCAGCGGCAGGGGTTTGCTGCGGCTGCAGGGCCTTTTGGGGTGTCCCCGGTGCTGGCGGTTCTCCGGAGGGCGACCTGCTGCTATCTGGAGGGATGAGCAGGAGTGCGGAGCAAAGCTGCCTGCGGCGCTGTGGAAGCGATTCGTGATTATCTTAATCTTTCATGAGGACAAGGAGAACCACCCTTTTTTCCCTTTTTCCCCCGTTCCCTCCCTATCCACTTTTTTTTTTTTTTTTTTTTTAACACCTTAATTGCTATGAATGCCATAATTTTAACTGTTTCATGGATAATTCGGAATCGTTTTAGCCGCCGGGGTGCGGTACAGCTGGTGCGGCTGGTGTAGGGCTGTATTCCCCGAACAGAAACAAGGAGGCATTCGCTTCCTATGAACATGAGTTTACATGACAAAGGGAACATGGTTAAAAGGAGGGTTGGTTTTGTTTGCTTGGTTTTTAACCCCCGACCATGTACAGGTGTGCATGGGTTGTCACCACCCTAATGGATGGTGAGTTGAAAACCACTGTCGCTATAAAACTAAGGAGCAAAACCAAGAATTTGCAGCTTGATTCCTAAACTTACTTTTTGTCTGTATTGATGCAATCTGACTTTATTTGGCATGGGCTTTTTTTGTAATTTCCCTGTGTTCTTGCATGTGACTAAAATAGGAGTCCAGAGCTAAGTGTGCTATAATAAGTACGGTTTGGGAAGATTTACAGTCACTTTTTTTTTTTTTTCTCGTTAAATTCTTATCTGTTCAAATAAAGGAAAAAATAAACAGTTTCCTCTCAGAGATAATTCAGAGATAAGCAATCAGTCCTTTGTATCAGGGCTGATGTAAGCCTCCTCCTCTTAGTTTTGCTTTATTTTTATACTTGCTTCTAACCATAGAATGGTTTTGGACCTTAAAGCTCATCTCATTTCAACCCCCCCTGCCATGGGCAGGGACACCTTCCACTAGCCCAGGTTGCTCAATGCTCCACCCAACCTGGCCTTGAATGAACGAAGCTTAATTGTCCCAAAGGAGACTCTTGGGATACTTTGCAGGGCTGTAGGACAGCATTTGGAACCAGTCCCAGGTGTGGAAGGCTTCTCTCTGCCCAAGTCTCATGTCCAAGATCCTAATAGACATTCAAGTATTCCCTGTTTCTTGCAGGATCTAAAAGCTTTGGCTGGGCACCTGATGGTCACAAGCAGGTGTGGGAATGAAAGCTCAGGGTTCTTAGACCTTAATGTCCTAAAATAACTTAAAGGATGCTAAGAAGCAGTTTGTCTCCTGGACTTCATGAAAATGAGGTCACGTGTTGAGTAATTTTTTTACAATATGTAAAAAGGCAAAGCAACTATGAGACTAAGCAAACTGCTCTGCCTTGAAGGAACCTGTTGCTGTTTTTCCTTGCATGATTGAGGGTGGAGGGGGAAAGTATTTCCCTTGTGAAAAGCTAATAAGCTATGTAATTTGTGTACCAGAATCTAGCTGATCATTAGGGCCTTTAAACAAGGCCACTTGCTTAATGGTTCACTGCTTTGAAATTGTCTTGTGGTTATTCAGTTGTGGACACTCACTGTGCAGGGATGGGCTGTGCTAACTCCTAATCCTTGAAGATCCTGCCTAATTTTAAAAGTGCTGATTAGTAAAATCTTTGCATGATGGCCTGTGTTACCTCTCTGGGCTTCTGATGGACTGAAGCTCCTCAAACTTAGTCTTTGTGCAGAAGTGTTTTATACATTGTGTTTGTTGCCTTGCAGGGAGCTCTGTCTTCCTGAGGAGTTCTGCTGACTTTGTTTGCTACATCCAAACCAGACTGTTTAGTTTTGGAAAAACTAAAGTGAATTTATAGTGTAATCAGGGCCGAGTGGTGCTTTTGTAAAGGAAGCTTATCTGGGTGAACCTTGTTTATGCCATCTGTTTAGTCTATGCAGAGATGATACTTTAGAAAAAATAAGTTCACACAAAACTCTTCCCTCACTTTTCAGGCTGTAAAGACCTCTAGCCTGGTGAACAGAATAGTCCTCTGGGATGGGAATGGTGCAGATGGTGACAAGCCACATTCTGTGGTGTCATCTGCTTTAAGCATCAAGCTGTTCTAAGCATGAGTCTTAGTATACACATACAGTCAAAGTTCAGAAGTGTTCCTGCTTCTTTTGCGAGTTGGGTAGATGCTGTATTTTTGGGGGGTTCAGTAGAAAGACAGACCCTGTAGCCAGACTTTCATTATCTGGGTCTGCATGGTCATACAGGTCTGATAGGATATGGCTCTAGGCTTTATTCTGTTAAGTAACTGTATGCTAATGTTTTTCTTTCTCAAACTGGTTGTCAGTCTGAGGTTGCACCGTCATTAAATGTCTTCATGTGACTCCTTTTTGTTGTACTCCCTGCACTGGAAAGTTCTTCTTAGCTCCTAGAGTTTGCTTACATCAGGTTGTTTTGCATATCCACCGCAAGGTGCTTGGCACCCAGTAGAAATGTGTTTTCTCTGACTGCACCGAACCTCTCTGAGGGAAACATAATGTTTGAGCATGGTTCTGCAGGTGAAGACTGGTCTGTATAGGCAGCAGGATCTATTTTTTTCTTCAGTTGTGTTTCTTTCTGGAAATTGGACTGCTAGGTGTACTCAAGAATCCTGTGTGGTTAACTGCTCTGTGGTGGTGGGGAGTGACACTTCGCTATTGGAGCTGGAAATGTGGTTTGCTCAAAGCATCAGAGCAGCCAAGAGCTTGGCACTGAATCAGCACAATGGAAACAGTTAAAACTGGGTGTAGCCTGTTGGGGAAACTGTGTGTCACAGGGAAGGGATAACAAGTGCAGAGGCTCTGGAATTGTTTGTCTTGTTGTTTAGAGTTAGGAATAAGGACTTTTGATCTCAGAAGAGTTCCAGGAGGTTCTATTTCTTTGCTGTCTTTACTGGTTTTGGTTTTGCCCTTCGTGTGAGAGAAGAGGTAGTGTGAGGTGACAGAGTGGGCTGTTTGCTCTGTTTACCAGTTCTGTGTGCGGACTATCTGTGCTCCAATTCTGGTGCTGTTTATGGAGTAATACATGCTGAGTGCTCCATGTCTGCTCTGCTGCTGCTCGCTTTCAGCAATGCTGACTTCCTTTCAGCATCTGTGCAGTTGATAAGCTCTGTAATAGTTTGGGTTCCTCTCATGTATCTAACCCAAAATTACTCTGATGTGCAGTGACTGTTACAGTCCTTCCTACAGGGCAAGGAAGAGAGCATAGCCTGACACTTTAGAGTGTTTCCAGACCTTCACTGTTGGAAGCAATAAAACAAGTTGGGATGCCTGGATTTTGCTTCTGTCTTTATTGCTGATTTGCTGGACCAACTCTCTCACTTATGAGATGGTGTTAACTGTGCTGCTGGTCCTGCAGACCTGTCTGATGGGCCACCTCTGGGTAGATCAAGCTTGTCCAAAGGAGAAGGTTGCATGCTATGGCCAGTACTATGTGGTCATTGGGGTCTCTGTGTCCACCTTCAAAGGATGTTTGACAAGACTGATCTCTCTGTGCTCTAATACTTGTCTCGTATTAGAACCAGAGAACCGGTGATAGCACTAGGCCTGGTGAATTGTGAGTTGGTTAATTTAATCAATTAGTCTTGCTCACCGCCTTCCCTTTCTGTCTCAGTGCCCCAATAGTGACAAATGACAGAGACTGAGAAGGCTGGAATAGTGCTGTGGTGTGTGGCTGTGGAGAATTTGAGCTTCCAAAAACTTTAGACGGTTCTGTTGCTCTGCAGTGTTTATCCTCTTCTAGGCCTGGCTGGAAGTGTGGTTCAAGGAGCCTGTGAACAGCAAGCTGAGCAAGACTTGGCTGATGGGTGTAGATGTTCTTCACCCTGAGTCTCTGCTCTTGTGCTCAGACTTTGGGATAATGTGTGTCACATGTGCTGTTCTCAGAGCAGTTATGCAAACAGTAAAGCAATATAGAACACCATACCTTAATTCACCACGCTAATTAAACTTGAGAGAATGCCTCTGACATTTAGAATCTCATGATCACAACGAAATAGTGGCTGTGTGTCCTGCTGACGAATCTGTCCTTATTTACGCAGAGACCCCTGGATATGGGTACAGAGTGGAGGTGAGAAACAAGGCGGAGCAATGCAGCTTTTTCCCCTTGATGTAGATCACACAGAGAATGTGTATGATTTCAGCTTTTTTCTTAAAAGAATGTCTAAGTGTGAATGTCTTGTGGTTCAGGAAGCTCTGCTGAAGTTTTTAAAGATGAAAGAAAAATATTTTTCGTGCATTGTAA